AAGTGTCTAAGGGTAGATGAATAGATACAGAAAATGTAGTGCATATAGGCAGTGGGATATTACCCAGCCATTAAAAAAAGAGAGAGAGAATCTTGCCATTTGCAACAACATGGTTGGATGTTCGGGGTATTATGCTAAGAAAACGAGTCAGACAGAAAAAGGCAAACACTGTATGATGTCACTTATTTGTGGACTCCAAAACAAAGCAAAATAGCTCATAGATACAGAGAACAGACTGGTGGTTGCCAGAGGCCAGGGTTGGGGGTGGGCGAAATAGGTGAAGGGGGCCAAAAGATACCAAACTTTCAGTGATAAAATAAGTAAGGCCTAGGGGTGTCATGTACAGCATGGTGACTGTAGTGAATGAAACCATGTTGCATATTTAAAAGTTGCTAAGAGGGATCCCTGGGTGGCGCAGTGGTTTGGCGCCTGCCTTTGGCCCAGGGCGTGATCCTGGAGACCCGGGATCGAATCCCATGTCCGGCTCCCGGTGCATGGAGCCTGCTTCTCCCTCTGCCTGTGTCTCTGCTTCTCCCTCTGTCTGTGTCTCTGCCTCTCTCTCTCTCTCTCTGTGTGACTACCATAAATAAATAAAAATTAAAAAATAAATAAATAAAAGTTGCTAAGAGAGGAGATTTTATTTAATTTTTTAAAAGATTTTATTTATTTGAGAGACAGAGAATACAAGCAGGCAGAGAGAGAGGAAGTAGCAGGCTCCACACTGAGCAAGGAGCCCCACACGGGGCTCGATCCCAGGACCCCGGGATCATGACCTGAGCTGAAGGCAGAGGCTCAACCCGTGACCCACCCAGATGTCCCAAACCATGGAATATTATTCATCAATAAAAAGAAATGATGTACTGATGTATGTTATAACATGGATGAGCCTTGAAAACATTGGTGAGTGGAAAGACACAAAAGATTACAAATCACCTGATTTTACTTATAGGAAGTATCCAAAATAGGCAAAGCTATAGAGACAGAAAATAAATTAGCAGTTGGTATGGCTGGGAATGAGTGGAAATGAGGAGTGACTGCTAAATGGGTATAAGGTTTCTTTTTGTAGAATGAATATTCTATTGGGACTTAATCAAGATAAGAAGCTTCTGCACAGCAAAAGAAACAGTCAGCCAAACTAAAAGACAACCTACAGAATGGGAGAAGATATTTGCAAATGACTTATCAGATAAAAGGCTAGTATCCAAGCTCTATAAAGAGCTCTATTAAACTCAACACCCAAGAAACAAAAAATCCAGTCATGAAACGGGCAGAAGACATGAAAAGATATTTCTCCAAAGAAGACATAGACATGGCCAACAAGCACGTGAGAAAATGCTCCACAACACTTGCCATCAGGGAAATACAAATCAAGACCACAATGAGATACCACCTCACACCAGTGAGAATGGGGAACATTAACAAGACAGGAAATAACAAACAAATGTTGGAGAGGATGTGGAGAAAGGGGAACCCTCTTGCATTGTTGGTGGGAATGTGAACTGGTGCAGCCTCTCTGGGAAACTGTGTGGAGGTTCCTCAAAGAGTTAAAAATAGAACTAAAAAAAAAAATTAAAAAATAAAAATAAAAATAGAACTACCCTATGACCCCGCAATTGCACTACTGGGTATTTACCCAAAGATACTGATGTAGTGAAATAGCAGGACACCTGCACCCCAGTGTTCATAGCAGCAATGTCCACAACAGCCAAACTCTGGAAGAAGCCACAATGTCCTTCAACAGATGAATGGGTAAAGAAGACGTGGTCTATAGATACAATGGAATATTACTCAGCCATTAGAAGCCATTTGCTTCGACGTGGGTGGAACTGGAGGGTATTATGCTGAGTGAAGTAAGTCAATTGGAGAAGGACAATCATCATATGGTCTCACTCATATGTGGAATATAAGAAATAGTGAAAGGGATTATAAAGAAAAGGAAGTGAACTGAATGGGAAAAATTAGGGAGACAAACCATGAGAGAATCCTAACTCTGGGAAACAAAGGGTTGCGGGAGGGGAGGTAGGTGGGGGGATGGGGTGACTGGGTGACAGACACTGAGGGGGGCACTTGATGGGATGAGCATTGCGTGTCATACTATATGTTGGCAAATTGAACTTCAATAAAAACAAATGAAAAAAAAGAAAATATTCTAAAATTAGGTTAGATGGTTGTCCAATTCTGTAACTATAAAACCATTGAATTATACACTTTAAATGGATGAAGTGTATAGTATGTGAACTTTTATCTCAAAAGAGATGTTTTTCAAATGGCAAATTTAATCTGTCTACTAATATATTACATTAATTGGGCTCTTACAATACGTCAGGAATTTAATACAAATTCATTTAATCCTTAAAATAACTAATTCAAGTACTATTATTATACCCATTTTGCAGGTGAGTGAACTGAGGCTCAGGTTAAGTTAAATAAATTACTCACTCACTGTCATAGCAAATGAATAGCAGAGTCAGAATTTGAACCCAAAGCCCATCTGGCTCTAGAGCCTGAGAACTACACCCCCAACCACTCCTACAGCTGCCTCTGGTTGGTGGTACTTCTGGAGGGTTTAGAGGTGTCGGGCTTGGGGGCTAGAGACACTAATTTGAAGGACTTGGTGCCTGCCCACAAGAAGGTCACAGATGGAAAGAGGCAGATACAATTAGAAGAAACGATTAAGATGCTCTGTAGTAAGTGCTCAATGATGAAGACAGGCAGAGGCTCAATTGGTGCTTTGGGAACACCAGGGTAATGACCATCCTCTACTCCTCCCTCTGTGGATGAGTGAAAGTATAAAGCGCTTACATGGGATTGGGAGGGCCACCCCAAAACCTGTTCCTTCCCTCTCTTGCCCACTCACCTCATCTAATTGGTCAAAGAGACTCCCTGGGTCATCCTAGATTCAACCTCTACCCCATATTTGATAAGTTCTACCCACTGGACTTTTTAAAAATTTTCATTTATTTATTCAAGAGAGACACACAGAGGCAGGCAGAGACACAGGCAGAGGGAGAAGCAGGTTCCCTACAGGGAGGCCCGATGCGGAACTCGATCCCAGGACCCTAGGATCATGCTCTGAGCAGACGCTCAACCACTGAGCCACGCAGGCATCCCCTAACCACTGGACTTCTGAGCTGCATTTTAAACCTGTCCCAGCTCATCTGGACTATTGCATGGGCCCCTCACCAGTCTCCCTTCTCTATGTCTGTCTCTGCACAAAACATTCTGCACATGCCCATTGAGGAGTCCCAGACAGTGAGCTGGGTACAGGCAAATAACGCCCTAGGGGTGAGAGTGGGAATTAGTCTGGGGGGCCCAGAGGGTTGTTAAAGAGGTGGTATGAATAACATGGGGCTTCTGACTTGTGCATATGGACATGCCGATGGGGGCTAGAAGGCATGGCTTACAGGTGCTTTTAGGATGTGGCTGGGTGCGAGTCACTGACTGCGTCTACACAGCGAGCGCAAAAGCCCATGGAAGAAGAGCTTCCCCTTACTGCGTGCTCACTCCTGATTAAGATCGGCCCTCACCGCTGTGGACTGTAGCAGATAGGACTGTGCTGAGTGGGATGCGAGGGAGGAAGTGAACAGAAATATCTCAAGGTCGCTTGCCTGAAGGACCCTGAGGCCCCAGCGGATGGGGGCATCTGTATAGACAGCCACCAAGGCTGTCACTCATTGGTGGGCAGGAAGGCAGGAAGGTGAAGGGATGGGAAGGGAGCTGGGGGTGGAGAGAGGAAACTGAATGTTGCAAGGAATTTGTTGGCCTTTGTCTCTGGTCTCTGGGAGGAAGCTTTGTTATTCATGATGGGTCCCCCATCATGGGGGACCATGGTGGTTGGTAGTAACAAGTGACTCCGTGACCTCCCTGGTAGTTTCAGGAAGGGAGCTGGCCTTGCCAAACTATCAACCATGTGATTGGAGGGTGAGGCTTTGAGACCGAGAGGGGAACTAGATTGAGTTCAATCATCTGGCCAGCGATTGATCATGCCGAAGGGATGAGCCCCAACAAAAACTCCACATGGAAGCTTAAGTGACCTTCCTGGTTGGTAATGCACGTCCATGTGTGAAGAGTGTGCTGTGTCCTGACTTCTCAGGTAGGGGACAGTAGCTTTAAGTTTGGGGCCTTTCCAGACCTCACCCTTTCTTCTTGGCTGGTCCTGAATCACATGCTTTCATTGCTATTAATAAAACAGCCAGTGTAGCACTTTCCTGAGCTCTGGGGGTCAATCCAGTGAATTACTGAGCCTGAGGAGGAGACCGGGCAACCCTGAATTCGTAGCTACTCGGCAATGGGGTTCAGGAAATGCTACCCCAAAATATGGCACCTTGGCACACTGAATATTTTAAGTTGAAGAAGTTTGAGAAAATGTCAGAAACAGGAAGGTCACTTTGATCCCTTCATCCCCATTCTTCTTCCCTGGAACAGGTCATACCCTCCACTGAGAGGAGCTCTCTCTACACCAAAGGAAAGGAGAATCCCCTTTGTCCAAAGACAATGAGACGCCAAGAAGAATCCCAACAAACAGGCTTTGCTAAGTTTCCCTCAGGGTACAGTTACCTCACACTCCTTAACCTACCATACATATTCTGTGACTGTCCACTCCTCAATCACACCCGGCAGAAAAATATACAAGGCTGGGGCACCTGGGTGGCTTGGTCAGTTAAGCATCCAACTTTTTTTTTTCTTTTTTAAGATTTTATTTATTTATTCATGAGAGACACAGAGAGAGAGGCAGAGACACAGGCAGAGGGAGAAGCAGGCTCCCTGAGGGGAGCCCAATGTGGGACTTGATCCCAGGATCCAGGATCATGACCTGAGCCGAAGGCAGAGTCTCAACCACTGAGCCACCCAGGGGCCCCAGCATCCAACTCTTGATCTCAGCTCAGATCTTTGATCTCAGGGTCAGGAGTCCAAGCCCCGTGTTGAACTCCCTGCTGGGTGTGCAGCCTGCTGGAAAAAAAAAAAAAAAAAAAAAAGAGTACACATCTTCATTTCCTTACGAAGACCTCTCCCGTGCCACATAAAACTTACATCACACACATTTATATGTTTATCTCCTATTATTTTATCAGTTTAATTTTTAGACCCAGTCGGGGACTGGGGTTTGAAAGAGGGCTGCTACCTCTATGTCGACCTCAACTGGTATTTCTTGATTTTTTCCAGCTTATCTCTGAACTCAGACAAAGGACCCCTGCGGGCAAAGCATCCCCTGATGGGAACCAAGAATACTCCCACGCCCAAGCAGTGACAAATGTCCTGACACCAGCAAGACCCCACGTGACTGACCCCAAATGATCCACCTGACCCTTCACTGCCCACCTGCACGTACCCACTGACCTCTGTCCCATATTTTCCTTATATAAACCTGAAAGTATTTTCGGCACTTCAGAGAGACAGGCTTTGTGACGTCAGCCCCGTCTTCCCGGGTGAATTCCTGTCTTGTCTCCCCACCGCTCTCTGCCTTTGGGCTGAACCTGGTCTGAACCTGGAGCCAGGTGGTCTTGTATCCCTTGAACGCCAGTACAGATTGAGGAAAACATTCCTCCCTTAGACTGGTCAGAAGGGTGGGGGGTCGTCTGGAATGCCTGAGCTTGCAGCTGGTGTCTGGAGAGGAGTCTTGTGAAGCACTGTGCCCTAAGCTGTGTGTGTGACCTGTCCCCGGGCCATTAATGTTGGAATTACACTGCACCAAGCAGCACTTTCCATCCCACTGGGATAGAGTGCGCATCCCCGTGGCATGCTCTGCAAGAACGGATATAAGGTTTGTCTTTGTATATCCTACAAGGCACTCTAGCTAAAAGCAGCCCGGAAGCCGGAGAGCCTAGGGGGGCGGACTGAGGAAACTTCAGGGTGTGTTTTGCAGTGTCCCTGTCCTAGTTAAGAACCAGCCTGCCCTGCTCTGAGGGACCTGGGGAAGGTCTCAACACTCCCTCTGTGTTTGGTCTCTGGGGGGAACTATCCTATCCTAGTTGAAGGGAGGGAGTGAAGCTGATTCTCAGGAAGAGGTAGTGAGGTTAAAGAGGAAAACATGTCCTCAGAGGGGTTCTAGAGGGAAACAGGGCAGACTTGGTAACCTCCTGAGTTTGGGGACAGCTATTTTTTACACATTTTAGTGAGCAATGTACTTGGAGCTTTCATGTAAGTACAGCTACTAGCTGATCCACCTACAACGTGGGTTTGAACTGTGCAGGTCACTTATACATGGATTTATACATGGATTTTCTTCAATAAATATAGTAGAGTAAATGTGTTCTCTCTTCCTTACGATTCTTTTTAAAAGATTTTATTTGAGAGAGAAAGATACCCAGAGAGAGCACAAGTGGGGTGAAGGGGTACAAGGAGAGGGAGAAGCAGACTCCCTGCTGAGCAGAGAGCCCGATGCAGGACTTGAATCCAGGACCCCAGATCACGACCTGTGCCAAACAACTGAGCCACCCAGGGGCCCCCTTATGATTTTAATAACATTTTCTTTTCTCTAGCTGACTTTACTGTGAGAATACAGCACATAATATATATATAACATACAAAATACATGCTAATCAACTGCTCATGTCATTGGCAAGGCTTTCGGTTGACAGTAGGCTCTTGGTAGTTAAGTTCTGGGAGAGTCAAAAGTTATACAAGGACTTGTGACTATGCAGGGGGGTCGGTGCGCCCAACCCCCTCAATGCTGTTCAGGGCTCAACTCTATCTGGGTTTCCTGACTGAAAAAAGAGAAAAGCTGCTTCCGCAGAGCCACACCCAGCTAGAGCTAACAACTGCCCTCTGTGGACACTGTGCTCCCCACCAGGGCCTCACACCGGCCTGCCATTTACACATCTCCTTTGCTTGCTTATCGAACACCTCTTGGCAGGCGTCCGTGCTGCAGCTGGAGAGAATCCTGCTTCTAGATAGGGGTCCACAAAATCCAAGACTGAACAGGAGCAGAGAGGTTGGCTAATAGGTCCTGAGTGTCCATAAGGACAGTGACGTACTGCTTCTGAATCTCTCTAGCAGTTAGATAACCATCGTGCCTCTCCAACCATAGGAACCTTCCTGAAAGATCAAGAGCTTTATTGTTGGATATAAATGGTTCTGAGCACAGACTCTGTGCTGTAGCTTCTCCTTTTCCAATCACTGACCCCATCTGCCTGGTCCTCGGCTCCCTTCCATCTGGGCGAGGAGACTCTGAGGCAGGGATACTTCCCGCAGGCTCTTCCAGAGTGTGGCCAAAGTCTCAGCAAATGGAATTTAGTGTCCAGAAGCAGCTAGGTTTCTTCCACTTGCCACACCTGGGTCTTCTGGAGTCTGTGCCAAGTCAGAAGTGAGCAAAGTTCATTAAACAAAGGGAAGGATTCACGGCCAAACTGCCCAGAGGTCTTCATTGTGCTCTCAGATGTCCAGCTTCATCGTCCCCATTTTGATCCTGACTTGGCATCTGTAAGTCCAGGCGTCTCAGGGAGAGTACAAAGAAGCGAGGAAGCTTGCAAACCAAGCTGAGTTCCTCCTTCCTGGACCCCAGGGCTGGCAGGATCAGCTGGCGGGCGTGCAGGTGAAGGGGGAGGTGGCGGGCCTTCGTCTGTTGCAGCCCTAGCTTCTTGAGGGTACCAAGAGACAGCTTCTGTACAAAGACAAGACAAGCCAACAGTTCAGCCTGGAGCAGCACACAGGGTCAGAGGTCTTCCACTTAAAGGAATCAGCGCTAACTCCCCTGGAAGAACAGAGGTGGACAGCCTGCTGCAGGGACAGTTCCAGGAAGAGTTCAGAACCCAGGGAAGACAAAAACCACCACACCAAGGAAGCTCTTATCAGCCAGTTCTCTGGCCGTCCTAGAGGATGGGCTGTAACATCATGAGATAAAAAAGTTCCCACCATGGATCTTCGGCAATAGCAGCTGCTTGAAGCCTGCAGAAAGTCCCCCCTACCAACCCACCCACAGCCTCCTATCAAAATCTGAGGCTAAGGACTGACACGTAAGAGTTCTGCTAATAGATCCTGCAGCTCCATGAGAATAGTAGCTGTTTCTCTCTAATCTAGGTAACTAGTAGAGATAACTAGTAGAGTACCAGGTCTAAAGACAATCAGTACAGCCTTGTGGTGACTCGCTTCAGGGTTCCACAAGGGGAAAACATAAGTCACCCCCCTTATCTGTTGCACATTGGGTCAAAACAATATCACCTGGGGGGCCAGCTTATTCCAGTCTGAGTATTTGTGATCACCAAGGATTGGGCAATTCAATCCAAAAGACAGATGAACTCGAAGCTGATGTTTTATTCCTTTACAAAAAAAGAGAGAAAACTTCAGTAGCTACAGAAACCATACTGTGGGTCACATCTCATGGTCACATCTCATGGTCACATCACATGGTTTCTCACCATATTAAATTGAAGCATATTAAAACTGGCAAAGCCCCACCCTGCCATAAAGTATAAAGAATAACAGAACAGGATCCCTGGGTGGCGCAGCGGTTTGGCACCTGCCTTTGGCCCAGGGCACGATCCTGGAGACCCAGGATCGAATCCCACGTCGGGCTCCCGGTGCATGGAGCCTGCTTCTCCCTCTGCCTGTGTCTCTGCCTCTCTCTCTCTATCATAAATAAATAAAAATTAAAAAAAAAAAAAAAGAATAACAGAACAAACTGTAAGCTATGAGGAAATAAACATTCTACATGCTGTTGAGCCTGTAAGTTCTCCTCCCCCTCACAGTCCCCTTTGCACCACAGATAACCAGTATCATCAACTTGGTATCTCTCTCTGCTTTGTTTTTGTTTTTTTTTTTTAGAGAGAGAGCAACCACGTGTGCAAGAGAGCAGGGGTGGGGGGGAGGGCAGAGGGAGAAGGAGAGAGAGAATCCCACGCAGGCTCCACGCCCAGTGCAGAGCCTGGGGAGGCTCAATCTCACAACCCTGAGATCGTGACCTGAGTCAAAATCAAGAGTTGGATGCTTAACCAACTGGGTCATCCAGGTGCCCCTTGTTTTATTTTGTTCCTTGAATAACACTATTAAATTATGCTAAATAGTAGCGCTTTGCACATTTTTTCATTGTAGGAAAACATTCGTGACATAAAATTTCTCATCTTAACCATTTTTAACTGTGCAGTTCTGTGGCATTAGGTACCTTTACATTGTGTGCAACCAATGCCGCCACCCATCTCCAGAACTTTTTCATCCTCCCAAACTGAAACCCTGACCTAATTAAACAATCACTCCCCATTCCTTCCCCCTTCTACTTTGTCTTTGAATCTGAGTACTCTAGGTATTTCATAAATGGAATCATGAGATATTCGTCCTTCTGTGTTGGCTTCTTTCACCTGGCATAAAGTCCATCCATGTTGTGGAAGGTGTCAGAATTTCCTTCCTTTTCAAGACTGAATAATAAGTGTAGGCCACATTTTGTTTATCCATTCATCTGGTGATGGACGTTTGGGTTGGCTTCACCTTTTGGCTACTGTGAGTGACGCTGCCATGAACACTGGTGTACACGTATCTTTCTGATCCCTGCTTTCAATTCTCTTGGGTAGATACTCTTGAGGATTGCTAAATTATATGGTAATGCTATGTTTAATTTTTTGAGGAATCGCTTTGCAAATTTTTAAATAAATGTAAGCAGATTATTTAGATCTTTCTGCTACTCCCTATTTTTCAACAGTCATCCCTCTTGGAGTTCCCAGCCTCAGACTGGCACCAGAAGTACACTCTGCAACATGTCAGCTGCAATCCTAGCCCTCTCACAACACCAGCTGCTCAGAAGAAGGGCAGAACCCAGTACAAGGCCCTGGATGAAGCTCAGTGGCCCTGGGAGTCCGCCGTCCCACAGCAGAAAGGTGGCCCCTCACCGGTAATAGGCTGGAGCTCCACGAGGGCGGAGGACAGAGTGCTGCTCAGCACATGGTACTGAGTCACGGCAATATGTGCGTTCCAGTTGCTGCGTACTCTCACCATCTTCCCATTGTCCATGCGGTAGTCTGGAGACAGCGTCATCTGAAGCCAAAGAAATCAAGATATGGTTGAAAAGGAAGCGCAGAAAACCCAAGCCTCTGGGTGATGGCTCACTCACCTTGTAGTGCTGCTGCTGACCCTGCACCGCTTTCTCGGTGATCGGGATATCCACGACTCCTGCTGAGGGCACCGGGACGCGCACAGTGATGGCCCTGGGGACGACACACAGACCCTTGTCTAAGCCACAGGTGAGGGGGGATCACCTCAGATTCGGCTACTTAGAGGCTTTAACACTGGACCTTCTGCACTACTGTGCGCAGTTCTTAAGACTGGAACATCCCAAGTGATCTCCTGTCACAGTGCATAGCCTGAGAGCTGGGTGCTCATCTTATAAGCTTATCTTTTTTACTACTAAGGTAACGTATGCTAATTATAGAATATTTGGGGGAAAAAAACAGAAAAACTAAAATAATTATATTAATAATATGGTCTTTCATTTCAGCCTTTAAAAAATGAATATGTATAGTTTTTTTTTAATTTTTAAAAAAGATTTATTTATTTGGGAGGAGAGGGGCAAAGGAAGAGAGAGAAAACCCCAAGAAGATTCTGAGCTGAGTGTGGGGCTTGATCTCACAACCCTGAGATCACGACCTGAGCTGAAACCAAGAGTCAGGTGCTTTACCCAACTGCACCACCCAGGCAATCCCAAAATGAGTATGTATAGTCTAAAATGAAGTTAGGGTAATATGGTTTTATATCCTGTTTTTTTTTAATTAAAGATTTTATTTATTTATTCATGAGAGACAGAGAGAGAGAGAGTCAGAGACACAGGCAGAGGGAGAAGCAGGCTCCATGCAGGGAGCCCGATGCGGGACTCGATCCCGGGACCCCAGGACTGAAGGTAGACGCTCAACCACTGAGCCACCCAGGGATCCCCATGTATCCTGTTTCTTTTTATTTTTTATATCCTGTTTTTTAAAAGATGGTCAATTTCTGACTGCACATGAAACAAATGAACAAGGAAACGAATGAACAGGATGAAAAATTCACAGGACCACTCCTGCCCAATTTGCCAGGTAGACAAACAGAGGGAAACTCTGCTCAAAGTCACAGAAACGACCACCATAACTCAATAACCATTCCAAATCACTTTTGTTGGAAGTCACCTTTTGTCATGTCAGAGATGGGTAGAGAAGACCCTTTAGTCTGTCCTTAACGCTTATGCCTCTTCTAGGTCAATCACAAAGGAGTCCTCCTGAGTACCTGGTGGACTATCAGAGAATCACTGACCAAGGCATCAAAAGCCCACTCGTACATTTCCCACCCTAGACACCTCACTTCAGGTTGGTAGCAGTTTGGGCTACTATTTGATATATTTTCTCATACTTAAATTGAGTTTTAACTGCTAGCTCATTCTTCTGAATTGACATTACACTACTGCCCCAAAACATTTACCCACTACATTCTCCACACATATAAGGAGACATTGACTTAAGTGGGTACTAGTTCTATATAGATAAAGAGGACAAACATCCCCACTCTCAAGGAATTCAAAGTCTAGTAAGAATCAAACTGGGCAGGTGGCTCAGCGGTTTAGTGCCGCCTTCAGCCCAGGGCCTGATCCTGGAGACCCGAGATTGAGTCCCACGTCGGGCTCCCTGCATGGAGCCTGCTTCTCCTTCTGCCTGTGCCTCTGTCTCTCTCTGTGTGTCTCTCATGATTAAATAAATAAAATATTAAAAAAAAAGATTCAAACAAATAACTATAACAAGTCATTATCATAGTAAGTCAGTAAATGCTAATCAGTTGCCAACTATGGTCTACTTCTGACTTCTACCTCCTGCACCTGGTATTTAAGGCCATCATTAACTAGGCTACAATATACCTTTCCAGCATTATCTGTCACCATTCCCCACTCCAAACTAGACCGCATGACTTATTCTTTTGTGTACGCCATTCTCACAATCTGTAACAGTTCTCCAGCTCATCTATCAAATCCTATTCATTCATCAAGACACAATTAATGGATTTCAATTCCTCCAAGAAGCATGATGAGAATGGTTATCAATTCTAAACTTTCATAAACAATTCTCACAAATAATATAATGCTTTTTAAAAAGATTTATTTTAGAGAGAGCATGCATGTGGGGAGAGGGGCAGAGGGAGAGAGAGAGAAACAGAAACCCGAAGCAGACACCCTGCTGAGCACGGAGCCCAATAAGGGGCTTGATCCCAGGACCCTGAGCCCAAATCAAGAGTCAGACACTCGGAACGCCTGGGTGGCTCAGCGGTTGAGCATCTGCCTTTGGATCAGGGAGTGATCCCGGAGTTCCGGGATCGAGCCCCATATCAGGCTCCTTGCACGGAGCCTGCTTCTCCCTCTGCCTCTCTGTGTCTCTCATGAATAAATAAATAAAATCTTAAAAAAAAAAATGAATCAGATAACTGACTGAGCCACCCAGGCTCCCCACCACTTCTGACAGCCTTACATTTGGGTTACTTGCATACATAACATAGTCTCAATTTTCTGTCTTTCAGCTTTTACTAGAAGCTATGCACTGTGTTAAACACTTTACATGCATTGTCTCATTTAACTCTCTCCTAAACTACATTATTCTCATTTTTCATATGAAGACAAAGCTTAGAGAAGTTTAATTAATAACTTGCCTTAGGACCCATGCTGTAAATGGCACGGCTAACAGTTCTACAAGATTTTTTTTTAAGATTTTAATTAATTAATTAATTTATTTATTTATTTATTTATTTATTTATGGTAGACGGGGGGGGGGAACTCCAGGATCGCGCCCTGGGCCAAAGGCAGGCGCTAAACCGCTGAGCCACCCAGGGATCCTTAGTTCTACAAGATCTTATTGAACTCTTAGATATTATGCTAAATCTCTTCCACTATCTATAATCTCTTATTACGGTGCTCCTTACACATTTGATTCCACAGCAGAGTCATTTGTGGAGCTTTTAAAAAATAGAGATGCCCACACCCATCAGACTTAAGAATCAGGACCTCTGTAGGTGGGTCTCAGCATAGAGATTGTTTTGAAGGCTCCCAAGATCACAAAGTAGCTACAAAATCTATAATACAAAAAGTACTGACATCCAAAAGATAAAAAAGAATACTTACAAATCAAATAGAAAATAAAAAATAACTGGGCAAAAGAAATAAAGTTTGTTCACAAAAAGGGAAACTCAAAAAACACGAGCCAAATAAGCACGCAAACAAATAACATCACTAGTACACAGGGAAATAGAAAACAGTTTTTTTTACTCATCATAGTGGCAAACCTTCGAAAAAAACCCATGGGGTCAACTACTCTATTGGGAGGAAAACTTGGCCTACCTAATAGTAATTACTTCAAATATTAAATGTGTGAGGGGAGCCTGGGTGGGTCAGTCGGTTAAGTGTTCAGCTCAGGTCATGATGTTGGGGTCCTGAGATTGAGTCCCACATCAGGCTCCCCACAGGGAGCCTGCTTATCCCTCTGCCTGTGTCTCTGCCTCTCTCTGTGCCTCTCATGAATAAATAAATAAAATCTTAAAAAAAAAAAAAAGGGGAAACCATCACCACCACCAACAAAAAAACAAGTATTAAAAGTGTGTACTCTTTAACCTAGCAATTCCATCTTTAGGAATCTGTCTTAAAAGATATGATCACATATTCTTTGCAATAGACTGAAAAATGGGAAGTTAAATAAATAACCAACAATAAGAAAATTATGAGATAGCCATACAGCAGAATACTATAGAGCTCTAAATGTACATACAAGGGGCTCTTCAAGATATATTGTCCAAGTAAAAAGCAGCAAGATGGAAAGCAGTGCAAAATATCTTGCCATATAATAATTTACCTACACATGCCTATATGAATCTTAAAGTTTACATAAGAAAGTAGAATAGTGATTACCTCGAGTAAGGTTTCACTTTTGTTCATCTATCTTTCTTCTATTTAAAAAAAAAAATGGAGATACACCTATATGAACTAATATGGAAAAATCTCCAAGACACAGTTAATGGGGGGGAAGAAGTACAATGTAATACACATACACACACACACACTCTATACATGAGACCTGTACATAAATACATTGGGTAAGGACCAGAGGAATAAAACCCAAACCATCCCAATGGAAGGGACTAGAATGACAGAGCGGGTAGATTCTCCAAGTTTTTGGCTTTATTTTTGTTGTTTGACTATTTTACCACAGGAATGAAATGTGTACTATTTGTATAATTAATTTCATTAATTTTCATGTACAATCATAATTAGGAACCACTATTTTATCAGATTCCAATGTTCTTTTTTTTTTTTTTTTTTTTTTTAAGATTTTATGTATTTATTTGAGAGTGAGAGCAAGAGAGCACAAGCAGGGCATGGGGCAGAAGAGGGAGAAGCAGACTCACCACTGAGCAGGGAGCACGATGTGGGGCTCGATCCCAGGACTCCAGGATCATGACTAGAGCCAAAGGCTGACACTTAACTGAGTCACCTAGGTACTCCAATATTTTAAGCACTCAGTCTGTTTCCTATACTTTTCATAGGCCCACATGTCTTATCATGGTACCTTCTCTTTAATAGGAGGTCCTTCCATATGAATGGACAAATAGATAAAAGGATGCCTTCATTTACATCAACTGTACTACTAGCGATAGGCTTCATACCAGTACTTCTTTGCCACCTGACGGGTTCTAAACAACTCTTGGACTTGATGTGCCACTTCCTTCTCCCTGGCCAACACCATTACACCTGTAGTCTCCTTGTCCAGCCGGTGGCACAGATGCAAGGGCTCTGCCTTGTGGCCATGAAGCATCTTTGCCAGGATAGGCAATACATCACTGATGCAGAGCTGGACCCCAGGGCCACCTAAAAAGGGAAGAGCCAGAGGTTTTAGTGGCTAGTAAAAGATCCCACCAAAGAATTCTACCTGGAAAAAAAAAGTCAATTATTTTCAAGAGCCTTATTTCTGAAATGTGGTCCAGGAACTGGCAACATCAGTATGCCCAGGGAGCTTGCTGGAAAAGAATTTCAGGCCCCCAATCCATACTACTAAATCAAACTCTGTATTTTAACAAGATACTCAAGGGACTCACATGCCGATTAAAGTTTGAGAAGCACAGTCCCAGCATGTGGCTTTTTCCTCAGGCATACACCTACTTATTTATCTACTTGAATACTCATAATAAAACCAGCAATCAAAATAAGGAGATCTGATATTTTACTATATAAACGAAGGCTTGAAAATTTATCAAGGGGGCACCTGCGTGGCTCAGTGGTTGAGCCTTCGGCTCAGGCCTTGCTCTTGGGGTTCTGGGATCGAGTCCCGCATGAGGCTCCCTGCATAGAGCCTGCTTCTCCCTCTGTCTCTTCTCTGCCTCTCTCTGTCTTTCATGAATAAATAAATTCATAAAAAAAAAGGAAAGAAAATTTACCAAGTAAACGTGAATGATAAATACAAAACTGTGAGGTTCTCCTGAGGCATTACAGAAGAGCTAAGAAGATGGACTTTAGGTGAGATGTTCCAGTTCTATTCTATGCCTACTAGCTATTGACCCTGTATAGATTATTTAATCTTTCCAACTTGTTTTTCATCTATAAATTGTACATATCTAGATAATTGTCTCATGGGGAATGGAAAGAGAAGGATTAAGAGAGAAAAAGAAAACACACAGAACACTTGGCAATGTCTGACTTAACTCGTCTTTATGCTTTTCTCCATACCTCCCCAAAAAGCATTCTTTTAGCTCAGTTATGTCTTTTCCCCCAGCAAATCTCTCTCCCAAATACATTTTTTTTTTTTTAAATTTATGATAGTCACAGAGAGAGAGAGGCAGAGAGGCAGAGACACAGGCAGAGGGAGAAGCAGGCTCCATGCACCGGGAGCCCGACGTGGGACTCGATCCCGGGTCTCCAGGATCGCGCCCTGGGCCAAAGGCAGGCGCCAAACCTTTGCGCCACCCAGGGATCCCCCCAAATACATTTTTTTCTGTCAATCTTTCCTTCTCATTTAGCTGTTTTAGACAACTACATTCAACATTTATTCAGAAACACTTCAGCGTCCATTAAGCTCTGGGTATTGTGGGTGTCCTATGTGCACACTCACACATATCCTTTCTTAGTATCGTATCACGAATACATAATTTGTTACATATTTTTTTGGCCCTTAGATTTTACAACATGAATATCTTCTGTATTTTGCAATTTCTATGAACTCTTTAAAAGAAGTTATCTTCTATACAAGTTTAAATGTTTCTGTGTGCATGGATCCTGCATATGTTTTCAGTACTGGACACCTCTCTACAGGGCAGTTTAATTATTGCTTTAACTGAAATTCCACTTTTATAAGAGTTTTCATGTTGGTCTCTGTAATTGGAGTTTCTGCATGCTTAGGTGGTCCTTATCTGATCCTTTGATCCCTGCTCATGTACAGGATAAGATATGATTTCTCTCAAATTATTCCGTCTCCACTCATGGCTTGAGGTGGCTGACCAATTTATACTGCAGTTTTGGGCTTGTGGGTTGAGATTTTCTGATCTTTGTTCAATGAAGACAGACTATTTTCGTTGGTCTGGACTTAATTGATGAAATTAGAGTCTGGATCATGTGAAGAAAATTGTGCAATAAATCACCATGTTAAAAAAAGACACTTGATGAAGCAAATTCGGAGCCATTACATGAAAATACTATTATTTATAGAAGTTAATTAACTATCAGAGCACATTAGCCACAGAAGATTGATAGGCTGAAAACATAACAGTGTATTGATGCAATTTAGTGAAAGTGGGAAAATTGCAAATAAAGGCTAAAATATAGGGATCCCTGGGTGGTGCAGCGGTTTAGCACCTGCCTTTGGCCCAGGGCGCGATCCTGGAGACCTGGGATCGAATTCCACATCAGGCTCCCGATGCATGGAGCCTGCTTCTCCCTCTGCCTATGTCTCTGCCTCTCTCTCTCTCTCTCACTGTGTGCGTATCATAAATTAAAAAAAAAAAAAAAAGGCTAAAATATAGTGGTGTCATTGCTGGAAGGGGAAATAACAGGAAGCTTAATATATTAAATACCATATATTTTTTTCTTACAATCATTTCTTCTTTCCCAGCCTTTTTTTTTTTTTTTAAGATTTTATTTATTTATTCATGAGAGAGACAGAGAGGCGGAGACACAGGCAGAGGGAGAAGCAGGCTCCCTGCGGGGGAGCCTGATGAGGGACTCGATCCCAGGACCCTGAGATCATGACCTGAGCCAAAGGCAAATGCTCAACCATTAAGCCAACCAGAAGCCCCATTCTTTCCCAGTCTTGATGGAAAATAATATGAAGACAAGAACCACACATTTAGTATTTCTCTGTAAAAATCTCTGTAGAGGTCTGGACGCAGGGCACTCCATAAATCACTGCTGACTGTCAAATGTTTGGGAATGCAGAGACCGTCTTTCCTATCTCTGCGTCTTCAGTAGTGCCTTATATACAGCTCCACAAAAGCTTAATTCTTTTTTTTTTTTTCAAAAGCTTAATTCTTTTGGGCGCAAGGCTTCGAGGAGCCCCACAAGTGATGTGTCAGAGTTGTCCCTAGTTGTACTGAAAACAGAAGCAGCTCCCCCACCCCACGCCCGCACCAAACTCCTTTTCCCGCGTGGTCCTTACCATGCACAGGGAGACCGTAGGGTTTATTGATGACCACGAGATCCTCGTCTTGGTGCAGAACGCCGCGGCTCAGCGCCTTGGCAAGCACGTTGGGGTGGACTCGCTGCAGCTGCTGTGTGAACCGCACCAGTTCGTGCACTCTCCGCTGAAGAGGGCTAGTGGGCGCCTAGGGAGAGAGAAGGAGCCACAGGGAAAGGCTGCTGAGAACCTTCGAGAAGTCCGGGTGACAACTGGGGTGGGGGTTGGGGATGACTGCCTCTGCACGGGCCCGGCGCCTTCCCCGAATGCTTCGGGAGCAGCGGTGCCCGTCTCACCTGCCTCCACGCAGAGGGCAGGGCCGTGGCAGAAGCCGAAGACCCCACCCGCGGAAAGACGCAGCGCCGTCCTCATCCCTTCCGGTCCCCTCTTCCCCCCGTTCTCCCGCAGGTCTTCCACGTCCACCTAACACCTGCCGGAGGACCCTCCTACCCGCCCCCCACCCCCAGGCTGGGAACCAGTGAACGCAATGCCTCTTGGGAGTTGTGGTCCTTTCGGACTCACCAGCTGCTTCTTCGTCTTCTGTTCCTGTTTCTGGGCTCGAAGCTTCTCCGCTAATCGCTGGGCACTCAGGGTCCCAGGCGCAGCAGCGGCCGAACAAAATGGCTTTGAGACGAGAGTAAAGAGACCGCCGACACGCCGCCGCCCGCGGCATCGCAGCCAGAGGCCCGGCGCATTACACATGGGCGCCGCCATCTTCTCCAAAAGGGGCGGGGCGAGTCGAGACCACGTGCCTCAGAAGGGGGGCTGAAGGGAGAATGGAGTGGGCGGGGCCTGAGGATCACGTGGGGCGGGCGGGGGCGGGGCCGGGGCCAGTCACGTGGGGCGGTGCGCGCTGAGTGCGGCTGCGCCGGCCGGTAGCTGCAGCTGGAGCGGTGGCGTTTGGAGGAGCCTCGGTGAGTGTGTTGGGAAGCCGGGCTGGGGCTGGGAAATGCCGGTTCTCCCAACGCTTTAACGTTTTCGCGTCTCCTGGGATTCCGTTCTCGGAGAGCATTGCACTGGGAGCCGTTTGTCCCTCTGGGAGAAGATCGCGCTCAAAACCACGTCCCCGCCCCCGCGCCCCGTGGAAGCGATGCCCCATAAACGCTCGTCCCGGAGCCTTCCCGGGCGCCTGCCTCGTCCCTCTTGGCAATCCCATCCCTGGTGCCCGGCCAGGCCCCCGGGGGACGCGTCGTGTCGCCTCTCATTTCCTCGCCGTTCGACCTTCGGAGATGCCCGGATCTCTGTAGGCTCTCCACCCCTCACCTCCTCTTTGTTTCAGGTTGCAACCTGTGCTCTCCCGGGGGTGATGGGGAACCCTTCCGTTGAGCCAGCCCCCCCCCCCCCCAGCCCGTATCCCGACCTGCGGCGTACCTTGAGTTTCTTCTGTTCTGCCTCAAGAATGCATTATCTGGAGTCTCCTCTCTCCCTACGTTCTCCTTGCTCCTTCCAAAGAAAACACTGACAATACGGAGCGCGGACCTCCTCTCCCCTCCCCTCCCCTCCCCTCCGTCCTTCATTTTCCCCCTCCCTACTTTGCAACCACCCCAAACCCCCCCCCCTCCCTCTCTTACGAGGTGCAGTGTTGGAACTCGCACGCCCCAGTGCTAGCAGTTGCCCTGTGATTTCACCGAGGGGTGCCTGGAAGGATGAACCTCTGTTTGGGGTGATAATGTGAAAAACACCTTGGGACCTACCTGCCATTTGTTAAGGAACCTAACGGCGAGCTCGGAGGGGGTGTTCAGAAAACTAATGGACCTGTATCGACACTAGAGGACACAATTTTTTTTTTTTTTTAACACCGCGGAGGATGGAGGCTCCTTGAGTTCCAGCAGGTGGTGGGACTAGGTTTGCGTGTCACCCCTCCGAAAGGGATTGGCAGAAGGGAACCATGTTGGGCAGCAAATAAAGTTGAACAGGTGAAGTGGAGCTGACCGGTAGGAGACTTCCTAAGTTGGAGAAGGGTTTGAGCTAGATGTTGGAAGTCATGGGGAGTGTCTGAAGCTTCTTGAGCAGCAGAGAGGCTCCTTGAATTCTAGAAATGAATCTGGCAGTTACTGAACGCAGGGCAGATTGAAGAGGGCTTTGAGAGCCGGTGGATGAGCGGGGATGCTGCAGTCTAGGGGATCGGGAAGGAGGTGATGCTTCATCCAGTGGTCTTATCCCCTCCAACACTGTACCGTTCTTGGAGTCTGAATTGATTTTTTTTTTAAGATTTTATTTATTTATTCATGAGAGATACAGAGAGAAGCAGGCTCCATGCAGGGAGCCCCACGTGGGACTCCATCCTGGGACTCCAGGATCACGCCCTGGGCCAAAGGCAGGCGCCAAAGGCTGAGCCACCCGGGCGTCCCTGAGTCTGAGTTGATTTTGAGCACAGGTCAGGTTGTATCGTTGAAGCTGCTGTTGAAGTCTCAGTCCTCATTCCCTTGAGGATTCGCTCCTGGTTTCTTTGTATTCCCCACCCACCTCAGGCACAGAGTAAACTCACAAATACTCATTCCTTAGATGGCCGCAGTGCATCACAGAGATATGTTAGATGGATCTGAACATTTGAATTGTCTTCTTTCTGTCAGTTTTTGACCTGAAGAATGGAGGAAAAGTGTTTGTAATCCGCAGGGAGGAAGGCTTGTGTATGTTTCTGTAATAAGACAGGTGATCAGGATATAAATTTCGAAGAATCCTGAGGGAGGTTGGGAAACTATGTATCTTTTTTTTTTTTTCTGCAAATTCACAGATAAAATACAGATCTATAATACTTGAGAATTGTTACCTTTTAATGATATGCTACAGACCCAGGTTCTGATTTTACTAATTTCGCTTAGGTCCGGGAAGCCTCCTTTTCCAAGGCTCTGAAATGTGAATGTGAGGGTCTAAAATTATATTGTTAATTACAAACTTGTTTTAGGTATAGGACTTTTATGTTTTTTGTGTAAGGGCTTTTTTTCCCCCCTTACCTTGTGCTTAGTGGCATTCAAGAAATGACACCTGTTCTTGCAAAATTGGCGTTCTCTGTCAGGAAACAAGTGAAGAACAACTCAGATGTCAATGCTGGTGACACAGAGCTTGTGTTCTTGGGTTTCAGGGTAACCAAGGTACACATTATAGTGCCTAAGAATAAAAACACTGGTCACTTTTTTTCTGGAGAAGGATCTTTCAGGTTTTTCTTTTTGAAACTGTAAAATATTTGAAGGATTCAAAGGTTTTGTTTGCTTGTTATCAGTACAGCTTTAGTCAAAATGGGTACAGAAGTTACATCTTAATGTTTTTAGCATATGGTTATTTAAAGTAGTGTTGCTCTCTGTCTATACAAGAAGTTATGCAAATATGCTGTCTTTTGTTTTAATGTTAGGTTACCTCCTTCCTCTTCTCGTTCAATTGATTTTATTTTAGGCAGTTCATTTTTCTACTTCACCAATGTCACAGTCTCTTTTTGGTTGGGGACTGCTCTTGTCTGTACTGTTGTCTTAGTACAAGGAAGAAAATTCTATAGTGATGTCTAGTGGTATCTTCTTTCTTAGAGAGTACAAACATGACTTATTTACATAGATTTTGACAAGTCATAATGTGTTCCCCCAACATAACTATTTAAAGAAGTATCTGAAGATTTGTTTTTGAGGCTATTTCCTGATCTGTGCAAGAACACAGTCGCCTTTTTTTTTTTTTTTTAAATTTTTATTTATTTATGATAGTCACAGAGAGAGAGAGAGAGGCAGAGACACAGGCAGAGGGAGAAGCAGGCTCCATGCACCGGGAGCCCGATGTGGGATTCGATCCCGGGTCTCCAGGATCGCGCCCTGGGCCAAAGGCAGGCGCCAAACCGCTGCGCCACCCAGGGATCCCCACAGTCGCCTTTTTATTTCAAAAACATCGAGTGACTAATAAAAGAACTCGTTTAAATATCACAGAGTTAAGATTAATTAGCAGCATGAGGTTGGTTTCTGGCTTCTCAAACATTGATTTGCGGGTTGCAGATTAACCAACAATTCAGTTAAGAGCAGGAAGTACTTGGATACCCTTTTATGGTTTAGATCCAAGCAATTAGCAGGAGAGCCTTGGAGGTGTCCTGGGAAGTGCAGTTACTGGCAGCTGCAATCTTGGGGACTAGTCCCAGCTCAGCTGCTTGTGAACCTGAGCAAGTAATTTGGACTCAGTTTTTTGTCTTTTAAAACGAAGATCCTTATAGCTCCAAGCTTCTATTCTTTGAAGATTTTCTAGTGACACTTAAGAACTTTCTTAAGTGGAATTTATTTCAGATTTATCTTGCATACATTTAGCATAACCACAGAGAATCAGGATTCTGCTCTTGTCCCCAGAATTTAACCTTATGCCACTGAGCTAACATTTATTATTTGGAGGTCACCTTTATTGAGTAGTGTTGGAATGTACCATGAGAGGGAGTGCAGATAAAAGAAAAAATACTAGAAAACAGTGGTTTTCTAAAACATTGTGTTATATACCCATAATATGGGTGTTAGTTCTTTTTTCCATGTCAGCATTTTACTTTTTTTTAAGATTTATTTATTTATTTATGAGAGAGAGAGAGAGAGAGAGAGAGAGAGAGAGAGAGAGAGAGAGAGGCAGAGACACAGGAGGAGGGAGAAGCAGGCTCCATGCTGGGAGCCCGACGTGGGACTTGATCCCGGGTCTCCAGGATCACACCCTGGGCCAAAGGCAGGCACTAAACCGCTGAGCCACCCAGGGATCCCCCCATGTCCACATTTTAAAGAGATTCCAGGGGATCCCTGGGTGGCACAGCGGTTTGGCGCTTGCCTTTGGCCCAGGGCGCGATCCTGGAGACCTGGGATCGAATCCCACATCGGGCTCCCGGTGCATGGAGCCTGCTTCTCCCTCTGCCTGTGTCCCTGCCTCTCTCTCTCTCTCTCTCTCTCTCTCTCTCTGTGACTATCATAAATAAATAAAAAAATTTAAAAAAAATAAAGAGATTCCATTATACTAATTTCCCTCCTTATATTTTTATTTGGCTTTTGAGTGATGCTCAAGACAGGTCTGGCTTAAACCAGTACTTCTCAACTTTTTAATGTCATGGTACCTGTGGAAATAATTATTTCGTGGAGGAAAACTGGAGTCTGCCCACGGAAGACAGCTGGCCTGGTCACTGAGCTGAGCCCGGTCCCCACCTGACCCTTCAGTAGTCTGAGGAGATCCCTAGCCCGTCGCTTGTTTGACCATTTAGGAAAGTCAGTATTACACAATGAAGGTCTTTACCCAGGCTCTAACTATCCAAGGAATTGTATTGTTAACTGTGTTTGTTAAATCTGCCTCTAATTTATTTCTTTTTTATGTGCCTTTGTGGTCTTGGCTAGTTTGTGTTTGAAGAGCATACCTATCCTTACAGAGTGATCTTTCTAAAAGTTTGTGAAAAGTCCTTAACTGATGAAGAGATGGGAAATGCTTTTGTCACAGTGCTTTGACCTCATTAGATTATGGGCAATCTTGCTCTGCCTATTTAGAGAAGACAGAAAATTTCTTTAGTTTGTTTTCCGTTAAAAAAGTAATACAGAAAATATGTAAGATAGAGTAGGGAAAAAAGTCATTCATAACTATTCCCCAAATACTGTTGTTGATACCATGTTTTTCCTCAGTTCTTTTATCATGCATTTTTTTCTTCATTGTAAATTTCAAACATTTATAGAAGTAGAGAAGATAATGAACCCTAGATTTCCATCAGCCAGCTTCTACCAACCAACTTGGGG